AGAGCCCGACGCGGGGCTCGAACTCGCGGACCGCAAGATCGTGACCTGAGCTGAAGTCGGACGCTTCACCGACTGAGCCACCCAGGCGCCGCAAAAGCCTACGTGTTGCTTTTTAACAATAATGAGTAGATTTTTCAAAAACCACTTCCAGATGGTGTGGGGGGAGGGGCGCTTCCTGAGCGAGTTGCCAAGGGAAGCTCCAGAGGTAGGTGGATTAGATAACAGAGACCCAGAGCGCTCTATCCTTTGCTGGCTGTGAACCACGGCTGGCCTTCGAACCGTCCGCTGGCGAGTCGCGCCCTCACACCATGAAGAGACTGAAACCGAGGGGAGCTGAGAGGTGCCATCACCGGGCAGAAGAACCCGGGACGGAGGTGGCGGCCGCCTGTGGGAGGAAGATGGCCCTCGCCCCTTGCAGGCTGGGAGTAAGGCGACCTTGGCAGAGCCGGGGACCACCGGTTGGCTCCCCGGCTCTCTCACCTGACCCCCAGAGCGCAGGTCGGGAAGCAAGCTTGCTCCTACGTGTCCAGGCCTTCTTACCTCCGGGAGTCTGGACTCGGAGAAACGAGTGTGATTTCATCCTGCTGATGTTTCTGTTCCTCTTTCAAAAATAAAGCTGATTTTTGAGATGTCTGCCTGTCTCGTGGGACCAGTCATAAAGAGTGTTTTTTCCTGGGGGTGGCCCGCAGCTTCTAGGTACTAACTTCGGGGGGGCGGGGGGGACGTGCCAGGAGGGAAGTTTGGGAGTCTGGCCTCCTCTGGCTGCTCGGAGGCTTTCCTTCCTGGAAACTTGCTTATGATCACGCCTTGAGGATTGGGGCCCGAATAAGGAAGGAGGCCCCCGTAAGGGCACACTTGAGTAAAATAAGGCCCACCGTGCCCCCAGAGCACCGAGGGGCTGAGAACATGGCTGGACCGGGAACCTTCAGAGAAGTCACCTTCCCCGTGGGCTCCTCACTTCGGTCAGCCCTGAAATGGTCACGTCAGGCTCACGTGTTTCTCCGCCACATGCTGAGTGTGCCTCCTCTGTTGCTAAATACTCTGCCTTCCCGATGGCTGAGTGGCTCAGCGGACCCAAGGCCTGAGCATTCAGCTGGGGCTTTGCTAGTCGGCTGTTCAATAAATACTCAGTGAGCAATGCTTCAGGTAAATCCGTAGCTGCTCGTGCAGCTGTGAACAGAACAGACGATCCCCTGCCCTTAAGGAGCTTGCGTTTTAGTAAATATTTTAAAGGCGGGCAAAGAGAAAATATTAGGAGAAACATGAACCTGGGGCATTTGGTTTACAATCTTCAGCTGGATGTCCCTCCCGCTGTGATTTCCCAGCTGGCTAACATCTCTTCTCCCCAAGCAGATGCCGGCTTGAAGTCCTACCACCAGTGGCGTAAGAATGTTCCAGCACCAAGGCGTCTAGGTGCAAGAGACCGAGATCCACGTCCCTTGTCTAGGTTGACTAAGGTCCACGTTCTCAATGCCAGAAAAGCCACTTCCCAGTTCTAGCTCATTCTTTCCTGAGCCATTGACAGAACACGTGATGCTGTCTCCAGAGGGCCCCTGATCCCCGACCCCTGTCCCCTTGACTGCTACGGAATAATGTCGTCAGAGACCCGAGTGGCCCCCAGAGACCAACGCATTACAGTAGCAGGCAGAGATTGCTTCATGACCCAGAGTTTCCTTATGAATCTCAAAACAATATATATATATATATATATATA